TTGCACTCGAGAGGTGCCTTCAGTTGCCATTTGACAAAATTTCGAAGATTGATGTTAATTAAAATATAAAAATTAATATAATAGAACGTTGTGCGAGGTATCGAAAGCAAATATTCTACGTGTAAATTATAATATTTCTTATTTACTGCTCAAAAAAATATCGTCAGTTTTATAACAGAAAATCTTTGTACCCTTTTAGTCAGAAAATCGTCGAGTGCAAAGGGTTAACTGCTAATTTTAACATCCTCCAATTCTTAAAACTGGGTACGAAGTGTCATGGAAAAGATGGTTGAAATGAAACAACTTAAAATGACTATTTTACAGTATCTGGAAAATTACCAAAATTCTATGTTATTTCTATGAAAAAGAGTTATTCGAAATAATAAAATCGTAGTTTGTTAAATTTAGTAACTTTTCTAGTAATTCTAGTAATTCTAGTAATTTCTCAAAAGTATATAGCTCTGACAAATAAATGCAACGGCTACAGAACTGAATTGATGGCTGTACTCGGTACTGTATTGTCAATTGTCAATTTCCCTAACGATATTTGATCTGTCCATTGATCAATTTAGAATTGCTGAATATCCATCTCATCCAATAATAATTGTTAATATATTAGATCTAATGATTAAAAAATATATAGAAATTAAAAATGAAATTATTAAATAAAAAGATCGTTTAATTAATATTCCGTACAATTAAAAGACTTAGTACTATTTTCAGTATTCCGATTGAGCAAACTGTTCAAGAAGCTACAGCCTAATTCGTGCATCTGCTTACTACCTGATAGATACGTATGTATATCCAATTAGTAAGTAAATTTGGGACTTGATACTGGGGTACATCCTGCCACTCGAATTCCCATAGGATCTTCACTTCTGAGCTAACATTCATTTCTAAGGTAACAACTTGGACTTCCTAATGAACACGTGATTCAGACTCGCTGATCGTAGAGGTTAGGTCACGTGATGTACTTGTACGTGAAAGATGGAGGACCTTATATAAATATCGTAGTAACTGGGATAGATGGTGATAAATAGAATTATTTATTAATTAATAATAATAAATTAACAATATGCGAGTGACGATTAGACACACGAATCTATATCGATTCCAACTTAAGACTACGCTCAACTCAACGACGCAATTGTAGCGCCCTATTGTATCGAATCCCTTCGATTTCCAAGAACGCTTATCACGCGCCAAATTAATATTGCGTGATTAGTTTTATAATATTAAGGATCCCGAGTGTGATGTTAAAATAGAGTGTTTATTTACAGTGAAAGTATACGATAGTTATAGTAGAGACGTTTATCGGAGTACCGTTTCGAACACGCGTTTATAAGAATATGCACGATGTTTCAGTGATTGGTGTCGAAGACGAACTGACTTCTCAATTTTGGTCTGTCTTGTGTCTCGTCGTGTCCTGTCCGATGTTTTCCCCAGTTTGGTTCTGATTGGTTAGGATAAACATTAGTGGAGGAAAAGTAAAAATTTTTGATTGGTCAGAGGGTGTGACGGAAGGACCCTTGGCTGAAGAGTAGAGAATTGTCAAGGAGCCAATTTTCGATGTCAATGACGTGATTTACAAGTGGTGTCCGTCTGTCGCCTTGGTGGGTCTGTCGCACGTGGGTCCAATCTGTCGGATCTGGTACTTGGAAATTTTTTGAACTTTCACGTTTAGATATATGACCGAATCCGCTGAGAGGGCGGCGAGGTACGTCTAACCCTCGGCGTCTAACCTAAGACGCTCTCCGGGACGAAACACGAGACTCGGTGTCTTGCGATGGATCTTGCGAATATTCGACAGTGCTTCTTGCCATTGCATCGAGTCACTTCTCTCATACCTTTATCGAATCTCGAGGGAACTATCTCGAACGTGATCACTTGAAATTCCAAAAATGAAACTCGAAAGTTTCCGAAGAAATTTTGTAAAGTGTAACATAAATAATAGGATTTAATTGAAACTTTGTAGGTTTGTAGATATCGTCATGCAGTTAAAAAATATATATCATTATAGCCACCACTACTCGATAGTTCTCTTATTCATCGATGTTATTGCATATTTCCTTCTATTTTTATTTATTTCTGAAACAAATGTTTCATTCTCAAACACTCTTATGAAACCGCTTCAGTCTGATCAGAATTCGGACATTCTTGTCATGTGTTTCATACTTCGAGAATACCACAATTAGATTGTTTTGTTATTCACCATCACTGTGAAATATTCGCAGTCTAACTCTCTTTTTTCTAATTGGTCGAAAATCCTCCTCACTTTGCAAATTTTCTTCTTGTTTTTCAAATGTAGTTTTATTTCGTAGTTCTTCCAAAGTCTCTTTATATGGAGCAAAGCAATTTTAAAATTTTCTTTTAAATTTTGCACTGCGTGTCGTTGAAGGATCATTTCGAGTTAAACAACGTTCTAATTTTTTAGCCAAATCCAGCCCCTTTTTTACATCATAACTGAAGTTTGAAACGAATTCGTTATCCGTGTGTTCTTCCACCAATGCATCTGACGTAGACTCATTAATTAATTCCACCAATTCCTCCTCGTTTAAACTCTCTTCCCGAAGTAGTTCTTCTATATCTTCATGGTTTATATCTGAGAATCCTTCACTGCTCGAAGCAGAAGCAATGTTTACTATTTCTGTAAGTGGAGCTGAAATATCGCTTGAATCATTTGAGGTAAAGAGGCCTCCAACGTGCATTAAGCGTTGACGATTTAATTTCTGTATAAACTAACGAGACAGTTCGAATGCAATCGAAAATAGGAAATTCGTTCCAAACTTGAAGAAGAGTTTTACCTCTGTTGGCCTCATATTTCCCTCAGGACGCCACGAGAGTGCACCGCTAAATGCAAGATTTGTTCTAATATGTTTCTGATGTTCTAATAAAAATTTTTAATTCTTCAATGGGGCACTTTTTATTTCAAAGTATCTTCTAATTAACGGTTATATTCGAAATGCATTAACTGTCAATTTTCATTCAATGTAGTTCAATGTAGTTCAAGTAGTTCAAGCGCTCCAGGCACCAATGACCACCGTGGCGTCACAGGAGAAACCATGGCCGGTCATATATGACCAACGTGGCAGTCAAAGTGTTAACCTTTGTTGCGATACGGCTTGTTTCATTTTACCCGCGTTTTAACGTCTACCCGGATCCCTTTCTAATTCAACGATTCGTATCTAGTCAGTGGTTTCTTCAGAAAACACGAACAACCAATCGTCAGTTATGTGAATCCGCGAAAAATACAATAGCAAAGTCAAACAACGGTCTATTCACATCCCTAAATTTGTTCGAATTCTTGGAAATCAAAGAAATTCGACACATAGGATGCTACAATCTGTGTGCCTTGACTAATAAAATATATTAATAACTCCGAGTTAACCAGCCCACTACGCACTATTAATAAAATACTATAGTTCATCCTTGTACAAACATAATACTACCACTGTTGGCGTAATACCAAAATGCGTTGTAGCACGTTGCAGGCAATTGAATATACGGAAACATAAAAGGAAGAAGGTATAAAACCGGTATAGCGAGCAATGCTATTGAATTTGCAAGCTCATCACTTTTTTGGTGTAACAACTTCCGTTTATTCGGTCTACAAAACGGTACTCGAGGAATTTACTGTTTTATACGGAACGAACATGAAGGTTTTGTATCATCAGCAGCACGCAGAGGTGTTCTTTATTTTGTACGTGAACAAATAAAAGGAATGTCTCCGACGACAACGTGTCGCGCGCGTCGATATGAAACAGTATAAAATATCGATGTATCCACCTACTACGTTATATTTGCCCGACATGACGAATGTCAGTTGTTACACGTCAGCCGCGCAGTGAAAACCGTCAAGAGGGCTGATGATTTACCGCGGCGATTGATATCGGTTCCAGCAGAAACAGATGGATTGATACTCGAAAGCAATTTGCTCTGCAGCCCGTAATTATCGAAATTATCGAAATAAACAATTCGCCGACTGATCTGTTAATAGGTACGTCAGTCTTTTTATCGAAATTGGAACACGAGAAATCACATTTCATTTGTTAGGTTAGGTTAGGTTCTTTTTTAAGAGGATATAAAATTGCTTTTATGAAATTTATATCAACTAATTCCTTTAACAGTGACATTTTTCTTACATTGTTATCCTTAGGTGATGTAACAACACACATTGTTTATACATAATATATATTTGTTTGTTCAATAAGAGTTTATAATTAGATACACATTTCAGCAGAAATAACACTGATTTTTAGTAATGACACTGATTTTTCTTCTATTGCTATTCTCAAGTGATATAATTGTATATGTGATTTATATATAATGATTGTATAATTATTCAATAAAAGGTCATAATAAAATATTTCAATTCCATTAAAAAATGCTTTTATGAAATTTATATTAACCAATTCCTTTAACAGTGACATTTTTCTTCCATTGCTATGCTTATATGATGTAACAGACATTGTTTATACATAATATATATTTATTTGTTCAATAAAAGTTCATAATTAGATACACATTTTAGCAGAAGTAGCTAATTCTTTTAAATACAAACAGACTTATTACCCTAATTAAAGGGTGTTTCTTTAAACTGGAAGTAGTGGAATACACATGAAGGATTTAAATGTTTTTACAAAATTTATTAGTGTAAAAATGGACATCAAATACTATATGTTATATTTTCATATTCAAAGCAGTGGTGGAAATTTCAAAATCAAATCCTCATTCTTAAATAAAACCATGTATAAATAATAATAATTATATGTACTTATGTAATAAAATAATCTTTTTGCATAATATGATAGAATTTGTATCAACAAATTCTATGTCCTGCATATAAAATCATTTAGTTTAATCAAAGTACATAATCGTTATTTTCATAAAATAAGATAAACTCGGATTCAGAATTCCAGTTCAAATTTAAACACCCTGTATAACATCACAATTGTAGGTTAATTAAAAAATTTTGGGATACTCCAGGCGAAGATCTGACAATGTCCTGCAAGAAGTTCTGCCTCTATCGGAAAGCTCGACTAACGGAAAACTCGGATTGGTTAACCCCCGCAGTGGAGATCTTCGTATGGGCCCATCACTTACTGAAAAATTTTATAAACTTCTACAAGTTCGTTCGGCGTCCACTTAATCAGCGATAACTTCATCGAAATCGCGCAGCTCGTGCGTAAGCAGAAGGTAACATATGGAATAACTGTATCCGAAAAATTCAGGTTCCACGCGTGTAAATGTAGCTGCGTGAATTACGATGCTGTTCCACTGCACGGGGCCCTGTATATCGTGTCCACGGCAATGACGTCGATAATCTGCGGAAACGTGCTAAGGAAAGTGCGACCTGGACTCTTTCGCGACATGTTCCCTTGCGTTCAGTGTCAGGATGTCGAGGCTTTTCCAGAAGATATTATTCGCAAAGTAAGCTTTCAGTGTTTCCTTGTATACCGTCTTACTTACGTTGTTCCATCGGTTCTTATTTCTTATACGCAGGGTGCATAAAAAGGCTACTTATATAATACATCATATATATCATATAATATATAATATATTATATAATCGATACTAATATTAATTATAGTGACTCATGTTGATTTGATGATTAGATGATTTTCCAGAAATTGTTTTTTACTGCTTATGATAGGTTAATGCACTTTTTGATTTGTAATATAATAAAATATTTCTTGTAACAGAATAATAGGTTAATAGGTTAATATATCATCTTGCATGATAAACAATAAATTAAATTATGTACAAATTTGACGTACTTAATTAATTAAAATAATTATAGGAGCAATTTTTTATAGAAATTAAGTATTAGGTTTAATACTTCCTTGATTCTATAATACATTTGAAGTATTTCAACCTGTTAACAATTATTTTTTGTTAATAATCTAGTTTGTGGTTTATCACTATTTTAGACAAATATATTATTTTTCTTTGGTATGTTTTTTTCCCATCTGAATATTTTTTTTTTCATAGTAACCTAAAATGTTACTAATTCCAAATTATACTAAAGGAACACTAAATAAATAAAGAAGTAAATTGCACATTAATAAATAAATAATAAATAAATGAATAAAGGAATAAAATAAAATTTAAAGCACAAAAAATTAAGAAATTAAAAGATATTCTATAAAAGAGAAGTTTATTTCAAATACAAGAAATTGAATAAAATAATAAACAAAAAAGATTAAGAAATTAAGAAATAACATAAAAAGAAATTTCTCTGAAACAATTTCTCATTTCTTTTCACTTTTTATCTTATCATAACTAGGTTGACGTAATTCTAACGTGTTTACAAAAATCCTGCGCCATCGAGAACATTATACGTCAAGTGAAGGATGTTCTATATACTCTGGAGAGGTTAGGTCCACGCGCGATGTCAGAGAAGCTTCGAATGTTGTCGCTTCTCCTAAAGGAAATAATGCAGAAGCTCATTTGCTGTGGTCCAGGTTTGGAAGGTACTTTCACGTATCTCATAACTATCATGAAATTTGGCGAAAAAATTGAATATGATGGAAAATAACGCGAATCGACGAGACTGCCGATACACTATTAAATTTCCGATCCTCGTAAAACGGAAGAAAAGTAACTGCAGCCCTGAAAAGATTTTTCGAACAGTTAACGGGATTACGAGGTTTACTAATGAAGTTGGTATTAATTATGCGAGTTCCCGAGTTTTACGAGATTTTTATGACCTCGTTGCAGAACTGCCCAGCAATACGCAGGTCAAACTGACGCTAAATCTTGTGAACAACTTTATTCGTGATTGGAGCGAAAAGAGGTCTGGGACGCGACCCTGTCTCAGGATCTGCAGATTTTGTGATCGTGTTATTAACGAAGCGACTCGACAGTGGGTATGTGATAATTTCCATGCTCAAATAATTTTTTCAAGGTTAGATTTTATTATTTAGGTATCATTATGTTTTATAGTAATAGTAAATACGATATTGTTTAACTTACATTAAATATAAATAATTGGAATTTGTTTGTAATAGTTATTGGTTTGTTTCACCTATAATTTTGAAATATAATGGTTTTAATTTTATATTATTTGGGATATAATGTTTTTATTTTTATATTGTTTTAGATAAAATATTTTTAATTTCTAATTACTTGAGGCCGAATTTGTAATTGTTTTGGTTTATAGCATTTATAATGTTTTTAATTATAAATTGTTTAAAACATAATATTCTTAGTTTCAATTTGTATAGAATATAATGTTCTTAGTTTTATATTGTTTGAGATAAAATATTGTTACTTTTGAATTATTTGAAATATAGTATTTCTGGTTTTAACCCCTTTGGATATAGTGTTTTTGGTTTCTATTTTGAAGAAATTTTAAAGATGTTTAAAGCTGAGTATTATCTTAATGGATACTTGTAAGTTGTAAGAAATATTTAAAGATAATAAAACATTGATCTAAATATAAAAAATGAAAATATATATAAATGTACATCTATTTAAATTTATTAATATTGTATAAATTAATAGTGTTGAAGATTGATAATCATTGTGCCATCTTTTATCATTTCTTTTTCACTAACAATAAGTAAAAATAAATTTTCCATTTTTTGACCAGAATTACTAAGATTATTACATGCAAGAATTACTAAAATGATAATTTATAATAAAGAAATACAAAAAGGTTTTTTAATTCAGGTAGATAATGTCATACATTATTGGCCATAACATTTTTAAACATAATTTAAGAAGAAATTGAAACTCAGTAGGAAAACCTTTGCGAGCACCAAAGAAATCTTTGAAGTTTGGAAAAGTTCTTTAGGCTTTACTAAACTTCTATGAACTTATGTAAATCTTGTTAAATTTAAAACATCTTGGACCTTCTAATGGTATTTTCCTGTTTTAAAACTATAATTTGCTTTTACATAAGTGAGTTATTTACAAAATAGAGGTCATTGTCTACTACCTTGTCTTAAAAGCAATTTTTAATTTTTTATGCATATATTTATGCTTTTCAATTGATGATGAAAAAATTATTCTTTTTGCTGATACACTATAAGACACAAAAATAGTACATTTCTCAGAAGGTTTTAATTGTTTGAAATTCATTTTAATTAAACTTCAGTTTAATAGCTTAATTAAAACTAAAATTAGTAGCCTCATTTAATCTTATTCAACCTGTACAGTATGTTCAGTGAAACTTGTCTATATTCATCTTTTGAGATATTGATCTGTATTTTTAAAACATTAGAATGATTTGAAAAAATTTATGTGAGATTTACAAATTAATGTAAATAGAATTTACAGATGCTTTTATAAAATTTATGCTCTGAATTGAACTATAATTTTAATAAAATATTAGAATAAAATTACTTTTTTGTTTCGAAAATTGTTGATAGAAAGAGATTTAATTTCAATCTATGTATCCTTCATTCTTGCTTAATTTTATTTAATTTCATTTATATAAATAATTTTGCACACTCACTTACATTCATTTTTAAAAATGAAATTATTATTCTAAAATTATAATTTTTTCACGACATTAATCACGTTTGTCATTCTTTAATAACTTAAATAATTACATCATGCATAATAATCTACTATATATAGTGTTATTTTAGGTTATGTATTCTGCATTTCAGCTTTATATATTTTCACCATATATTTAGATAATTTTCTGAATTTAATAAGTACGAAATCAATTGTAGATTTGAAATTTCGAAACTATTAATTATAAAAAATTTTTACTAGCATTGTATAACACGTATCTTTGTACAAGCCTCAAAAGTTCGTAATAGAGGAAGGATTCTATGTTTTGGCACCCTGTCAAGTGCTATAACCTGCAATAACATATAATGTTTTGCTTCAATCTCGTCACACTTAGATGAGAGAACAAAAACACGTTTTTGGTCCTACTTGCGATAAATATATTTGATTTTATGAATACCATGTATCATTATTATGTAATTTAGAATTTTTGAATAAAAATTGAAAACGTTCACTTTAGTCATTTTACGACATATCAATCCATTATGCTGATGGCAACGTGATCTATAAAACTACTTGAATTGTTTATTTTCTCAAGTAAGAGTACTTTAGATTGTCAACAATAACGATAAATTTACCAAATTTTGTTTTTTTTTTTTATTAATGTATTTTATTATTAAAAATTGATTTCCTCGATGAATCTATTTCATTGCATCTTTTTGTTTTTATATATTGCTCTTTAAGATTATAGTAAACAAAAATATTTGTAAAATGGAAAATATAGAATGTTTCTAAACTCGTAATATCATTGGTGGAAACGACATACCGAAGTCGTAAATTGAAACATTCAGGTGGCGACACTGGTTAGTATAGTCGTATTCAGAACATGTTATAGAAACATCTCGATTATCAGATAGCAAAAAATATTTTACAGATAAAAAAAAGAGACAGTTTTATTGAAAAATTAGCTTGTAAAAATTTATATCACCGGTAAAGAAACATATTTAAGACACATTTACGAACTGTGTTGTACATAACCTCAATTGCGTACTCCCATTAAGAGGGTACACTAATTGAACTGTAAACTTAACTATATATCCTGCACTACATAAAGCTGTATAGTACATCTATATAATAATGTAATCTATAAAATTCTGTACTATATAAATGCTATGGAGACTTATATATGAATTATATGTATAAATTATTTTGAAGTATAAATATTTTGATATGTTTCTTTCTCTTATTAGTTTATTCATATCTTCAACTGTAATTGTTAATCTTTTTACATACAAATATTTATTACACTACATTGCAATTATAGGAGCTACTTACATGATACTCTTTTACTAAATTTATTTAAATTTTGCTGTATTTTAGAATTTAATTTAACTGCAAAATTGTTTTCAAGAAAATTAATTTTAAAATAAATGCTATCTCTCTGAATGCAAATTTATATTATTATTTATAGTATTGATGTAACGCAAAATTAATCAAAACTTTTGAATAATCATGGGCATTGTTTTGGAAAGAATGCATTTAATATTTGAAAAGAGATTTGACCCATTGCAAGCAATGAATTTCTTATTTTATGAATCATCGATTTCAGACCTGAGAGATATATTCCTAGAACATAGATCTTTGAATACTATTTCAGTTCAATTTTATCGCAAGCTCATAAAGAATATTTCAATACCAATATCATTATTTCCAACATTTTTGGAAATTTTCAACCCCAAATTGAAGGAAAAAAAGAGAAAAACATTTTTATTATATTTAGCATTGAAAATAGGACTAACAGAAAATTGCATTTCTACTACTCGCCTCTAAAATTTTTGCAAATTTTCGATCCCAAAATTCGGAAAAAATCCGGGGCATACGAAATATTGAAAATATATAAAAACAAAAAGAAAGGAAAAAATTAATTCCTCTTTTGACATGTCTAATTAATCTCACAATCTGTATTTTCTAAGAAGTTCTTCAGAATATTTTTGGATTATCTATATTTGGATAATCTAAACAACTTTTTTGGATTATTTTGTCGTGGCTTTAACAATTTTTAGAAATAACATTTTCAAATTAACGTAGATGTCATGCTATCATTAAATTCGAATTCTATTTTTCATATTATTTTACTAAACTTTATACGAAATCCCTGTATACCAATGATTATAACCCCATAAATAAAATAAGCTAGAAACATAACCATTTATCCCCGCCCTCTTAACACAGTTGATCTTCGAAAAATGTTTCACTTCGTTTTTCAGGGAGCATTTTGCTGCACAGAGGCTGAACAATTGCACACGATCCTCAAGGAATGGGTCCTCCGCCAGTCTATAGCGGTAAGTCCTACAAAAGCAACTCGTCTAACCTATCCAACGTCACCAACATCGACTAATATCGCAGTGAGCTACAAAATTTACACAAATGAAGGAGTAAATTCACGAATCCTCTCAGCCAAAAAGATTCAGACTTTAATTGTATTGATATTTATCGACTAATATCGTGGTGAGCTAACAAATTTGCATAAATAAAGAAGTACATTCACGAATTCTCTCACAATCAACCAAAAGAATTCGTTGGTTTGGTCCAGATTTTAATTCTATTGACATTTTTGACTAACATCGCAGTGAGCTAAAAAATATGCATAAATAAAGGAAGAAAATTTATGGATTCGCTGAAATTAGGAGAGTTTCATTGATTTTAGTTCGATTATTTAACTGTATTGGCATTTTTTACTAATGTCGTAATGAGCGAAAAATTGGCATAAATGAAGGAAGAAAATTTATAGATTCTCTCAGCCAAGAGAATTTTATTAATTTTAGTTTGATTATTTAATTCTAATAACATTTTCGACTAATGTCGTAGTGAGCCAAAAAATTTGTGTAAATAAAGAAGTACATTCATGAATTCTCAGCCAAAAGGATTCGTTGCTTTGGTCCGGATTTTAATTGCATTAACGTCTTCAATTAATATCGCGGTGAGCTAAGAAATTTGCAATAAAGAAGTACATTCACGAATTCTCAGCCAAAAGAATTCGTTGTTTTAGTCCAGACTTCAATGGTATTAATATTCTCGACCGAAATCGTAAATTGAAATCATCCATCGTTGCAGGATTGCATGAAAGACGATGTACTCACCTGGAAGGCGGTGCCTGGTTCCTCAAAACCCGAACGGTTCGTGGACACGGCGGAGGATTCGAGGACACGTGGTGTGGTGGAAATACCGGTGGCTATGGGTGTCGCGGATTATGAGGACACCGATGCAAGATTCGCCGACGGACGTAAAAGCCCGAGGGATATAGGAGGCCAGGATCGAGCGATGAAACATCGATCTGTCCGCGAGATAAGTGAGACACGTCGTGCTGAGGCTGGAGTGTCCTGGAAGAAAACAGAGGTAGAAAGATCCGACGATTCCAGCCGGGTCGGGATAAATTTGACAGAGTCGGTAGCAGGGATTTAACAAAGACGGCGGGTCGTACGTTCCAGGGAAAGATGAGAGGAGAAATAAAGAGGGGCCGCAATATCGACAGACCCGGCGAGTATCCTATCACGCCAGATGGACGGGAGGAACGTGACGATGTTCCGTATAAAAGTAAGCTCGACAAGATCCGTGGATCGCGTGGTTTACGTGACACGAACGAGGAACGAGCAGCTGTCGGAAAAATGAGGAAAATTAAAAGGGACGTGAAGTATTCGAGCCGGAAGCGATTGGAACATACGGCACTCTCTGGAACGGAATCCGACAGAAATAGGGTTGATCGATCCAAGTATGGAGAGAGAAGTCCGTCTGGCACGACGGAGAGATCAACGGCCAGGGGTAGGAGACAGAGAAGATTATACAGGGACACGTTGGAGGACGGTGAAACGGAGAAACGAGGTGAGAGGATGACCGGTACGGAGTACGAAGAGAGAAGGAGCGATAGGCGACGCAGGAAGAAGCCACGAAAAGATGAGGACACGGAAACGGAGGGAATGGTGGATACAGGTGAGCACAGGGAGGTTCGCAGGAGCCGGGGGACGAAGGCGGATGCGCTTGACAGTGGAAGGAAGGGAGTGTCTTATAGCCCCAGCGAGGAAGAAAAAGTTCGTAAGCGTGATGGAAAGTGGAAAGGTCGCTCGGGTGGAGAAGGAGATGAAACTGATTCTGACTTAACGAAGAAACGTGGCAAGGGTAGGTATACCTGGAAAGAATTTAGAACTGTCAGCCGTGTCATGAGAAGACTAAAGTTTCAAAGGGAGCAGAGTGTACATTTTTAAGCAGGGGATTGTAATACTAGGCAAGAAGGTGGTAATGTACACTTTTATTTCTTTGTTAAAGAGGTATTTAAGTACTATGACATGTCTGTGATTATACTAGTTATAGTATATTAAGTACTATTGACATGTCTGTCACGAATATTAAAATTAATGTCCTCTGTCAGCAACAAACAGAAATGACGCGATTCGCTTTTATTTCTTTAGCTGAAATGCACAAATGTTAGGTTATGTTAGATTAGGTTAGATCAGCCGTGTCATGAAGAGACTAAAGTTTTCTAAGGGAGCAGAGTGTACATTTTTAAGCAGGAGATTGTAATACTAGGCAAGAAGGTGGCAATATGCACTTTTATTTCTTTGTTAACGAGGTATTTAAGTACTATGACATGTCTGTGATTGTCACGAATATTACAATTAGTGTCCTCTGTCAGCAACAAACAAAAATGATGCGATTCTCTTTTATTTCTTTAGCTAAAAGGTGCAAGTGTTAGGTTAGGTTAAGTTCGATTCATTTTTATTTCTTTAGCTAAAAGATGCAAGTGCTCCTTTTTGCTCATCTAATTGTAGATAGATGAGTAATGTTATAGGTGAGTTATAGATAAATAAAGTAAATTTTATTAATTTTTTCTCACTCTAATTGATAGATAGAATATATTATCTGTAGTAGTGTAATTAATCATAAGTTCAGAGCAGCTGCTTTAACAGGAAAAATATCTTTGAGGGTAAAGGGTTGAATAGTTTCATCACATGAAATAATTATATTATATATATAGTTATCTTAAATATGATTATATAATATTAATATTAATATTAATCACGTTAAGTATATAATCGTGTCATAATTTTATACGAATGGTACATACAGGGTGTTTTTTATTATCTCGAACACGTAATATTTCTGTTATTTCTAATGATACGAAAAAATGTGTAAGGGAAAAGTTACACAGTTTCATGGGGTAAATATAACAGTAGATCATAATTTTTATTTCAAGGTCATTTAAGTCGAAATTTCAAGGTCGTTAATATATACATATATATTTCGCATACTTTATCTCGTGACTTTTTCTTAATATATGTAAGTAATGTCACAAATATAAGTTGAGACGCAAACTATACATAGAAAACATTTCAGCTTTCATATAGCAAAGAGTTAACAAATAATTTGAGGTTATGGAGTTAGGTGAATTGCTCTAGGTAATTTTCAGTGTTAATTACAAATTGTTTTTAAAGTTAATTATTTCATTATGAAGCTATTCCATGCTTTAGTACTTAACACCAACTTTTCTCATTCTGTGAACGATCTATGAGGAACATAAGTATAGTTGGTTCGAGGGATATGGCAAAGTCGTAAAATCAGTCGAGCGCGAAAGTACGAATGTTCCGATTTCCCAAACAGTAACTTCAGATATTTTAGGGTGATAAAAAGCTCGAGTGTCAGTCAGTGCCGTACGATGTCGATTTGGAATGGGTTCTTTTATTGTTGGGTATCGCTGACAGTGATTTATGAAAAATTGAAGTTTCTTCAAATATTCGTAATAAAAAACAGAATTTACTGGTAACAAATTGACAGTAAGTGTTAATTAACGAACTAAATTAAAATTGAATAAAAATAAAAATTAAAATTAAATTAATGAATTAATCAATGAAAAATTTATTATTTACTAATCAATATAATTAACTAATCAACATAGATTCCATAATAAATTCTTTTATTGTAAAATCATTTTTTATTATTTTTACAAACATTTTTATTTATTTAGTATCGTTTATACTAAATTACCTATTGTCTACAGTTTCCCTCAACCTCTTTGGTGTAGTATACACTTTAAAATTAGTTACATCTTTGTGGCACAATTGTTAGAAAGAAAAATTTGTTTACTTCCTATAGTAACACATTTTGCTAGTTATTAATGTTTATTATTTATTTAAAATATGTCACTTAATTGAAAATAGTATAAATTTTAATACAAATGTAATATAAGTATTTATATTATAATAATATAATATTATAATAATTATTATATCAACAGATTATTATAATATTATTATAGCAATTATAATAATAATATAAATACATATATAAATAAATAAATATATTTGTAGGTATATGTATAATATATGTATACTTATATATTCATCATATGCATTCAGTCGTAAAAAATATTATATTCATTTATAAATCTGTTATCTAACCAGTTAACTAATTATCAGTGACATCAACCCTGTCATTAATCGGAACTGTTGCTTGACACAATAATTTCCGACTTCGTCATATTGCTCGATCAAATATATCGTCGATTATTATCGTTTCGTGAAAACGATCTTTAGATTTTACTAGTATACGTAATTATTATTTCAATCAGATCGAACTATAGTAGTGCCTGTCACTGTCGCGCAGTTGGGTCCGCGACGCGTCAATTATCCGGGCAGGTAGATATTTTGAAAATTGTTCCGCATTCCTTTCGATTGATGAGACGAAAAAGAGAAAGACTATGAGCGAAAGAGAAGAGAAAATGGCCGAAACAGTTGTTGCAGGAATTGATGCAGATAATCCGGCGACAGTTAAGCGGGCACTACAATATACCGCGTTATGTGGACAGTAACTTCATTTTGCGCATGCGTAGTAGCATGCCCATTTGATATCCGTTTATATCACTCGTTTTATAAACACACCGAAATACCCGGTGTCAGTTAAGTACTAGTTACCAAAGAAACCAAGAGTCAGAGAAAAAGTTCAATATCAAATACTTACAAGAACTTCTGCTTGCTGAAAGCAAGAAGTTTCACTTAGATCGTATAGGGTAATATGCATAATGATGAAATGGAATTTTCCTTTGCATGTGGAGGTAAACTCGGTGCAAGCAGCACTGAAGATAAATCAACACCTGATTCAAGGGACCAAAGCAAGAAAGTGACGAGTGCGTCCGACAAAAATGAATATGGACGACCCAGTTCGAGTAGAACAGACGACGATTATTATAGCAAGATAAATGGATCTCGTTATGGCAAACGAAGAACGTCTTCGAAACTTCAGGATAGTCACATCGGTAATAAATATTTGAACAATAGCTATATACAGGGTGTCATAGCAACGGCAGTACAATCGCGAACAGGGTGATTTTATATGAAAAAACAAATCGAAAATAAAGAATAAAATTTTTTCATTCGAAGCTTCGTTATCGAGAAAATCGACTTTGAATATGCATCGAGTGCGCGTGCACTTAACTATGACTTAATACCAGCATCGGAGGTACAACTGAGGAGGGAATGATTCTACATGAAAAAATAAATCGAAAATAAAGAATAAAATTTTTTATTTCGAAGCTTCGAATTTGAGAAAATCGACTTTGAATATTTAATGAGTGCGCGTGCACTTAGCTTCGGTTGTTGGATGGATCATAAGTATACCAGCGTGCTTGGATTTTCAAAGTCGATTTTCTCAAGAACGAAGCTTCGAAATAAAAAATTTTATTCTTTATTTTAGATTTATTTTTTCATTTAGAATCATTCCCTTCCCAGTTGTACTACCGTTGTTGGGACAGTATATATATATGAGTCCAAAACTTCGAATGAGACACCCTATATATATATATATAGGGTGTCTCATTCGAAGTTTTGGACTCAATTATTTCCTGAACTATAGTTCGATTCGAAAAATGTTTTAAATAAAACTTGCTCTGTTTAAAGGACGACATCTTATAATGGTCATAAATTTTTGTCAGATAGTCACATTTCCGATCTTTCAAGATAACCATGATTTTTTTTAATGTAACTGTATACTTTTTTCACGTAAGCGAATAGTGTATTTCAGAGTGAATTCATTGACCTATAACACTTGGGTCTTTGAAGATAGTTTGAGGACCTTAACCCTCTACGGTGGACCACCAGTAATGAAACACCTTGTATAATTTTATTTATTTTATTATACTTGCTCAGTTTCACAAATTGTGAATGTTTTTATAAATTTTTTTGAATTTCCTTAAATTCTTTCTTTCTAAATAGGAATAGCTTTTATAAATTTCTATTCAAAATGTTATAAACGCCCAAAGCTTTATTAACAAGTTACAATCAATATTAAAAATTGGTCAAATTAAAAATTGTCAAGTCTTGTAAATATTCGCAATACAGAAAGGAGACTATGTTCTGTTGCATGTTTCATTCGAAATATAAAATTTTTCACCTTTAAAATACACTACAAAGTTGAAAAGAAAATAAATAAATAAATAAACAAACAAATAACCAGGCAAATAAATAAATAAATAAATAAGTACAAAATTAATTATGCAAGAGGTGAAGGATTAAGTAAGGTTGAAAATAATTTTTTCAAATCTTTCTTTTCACACTGTAAAAGAAATGAAGGAAATAAATTTATAAAATTTCATTTTCTTCCTTTGAACTTTGATATTACGAGATTTCGCTTAAACAACGAAGGCATCTAATTCGTCATCATTATGGCGATTCCTGTCTCAATGGATATCGACTGAAGTTCGATACCAAATCGTCATTAATCGAGAACATTTAGAGCCTAGAAGCGTTTGGTCATCATTATCGTATCGCATCCAAATAATGTGGTTACGTGTGTATACTGCGTAGAGTTAGGTTTGGGTTAGGTTAGGTTCAGCATCCTCGTGGAATTTCTACGTTACAGACGATCGAAGCTCGATCGAGTACCAATTATCAAACCAGCACTTCGTGAAGCTAGGCTGGACCGTGATCCCTGTTGCCAAAATCATGAGGAAAATTGTTCAATACCAAGCAAAACCGGCGAAACCACATCTCAACTGGTACGTGAACCAATTAATTTGAATACATAGTAGTACAACTGTAAAGAAAATTTTCATTATTCAATTAGTATATATCACACATATACTTAGACTATTATATAAGTTACATACCATAATACTTTGCTATAATTCTTTTTATAACTTACCATATGCTATGATATAACCTATAATATTGAACGGTGCTTATATTCATTATATACTAATTATTAGTATTATACTTAAATTTTAATACTACTATTATTACTATTATTATTAATACTACTATAATAGTATTATACCTAAGTATTATACTTAAATTTAATACTACTTAAGTATTAGTATTATACTTAGTATATCTAAGTATTCTACTTAAGTAGTATTATACTTAAATTTAATAATTAATAGTTCATTTATAGGTGATATAGTATAAACTATTATACTGTGTAATACTATATTGTATACTGTCATATTATACGCTAGTATATATTTAAATTTAGTAATTAATAATAATTTATTTATTAATTAAATTAATTTGATCATAGTTTGATAGCTGAAACTGTTTTGATATAGTTTGTGTATCATCAAATTGTAATTAATAAGTAGGTAATTAGTGATAAATACTTTATTTCAAATTAGTGCTATATGAGTGTTAAAATCAAATTGATATTTTCTTTTTTTGCAATTTAGATAGATGTTTTTATATGTACTTATCAGCGATCTTTTTATTAAAAAAGATGAAAACATAAACTGTAGTAATAATATCATTAAATATACATTTAATACGATTTTTTTATGTACATAACCTAACAAAGGTGTTGACAAAATTTTACAAAAATTTCAAATTTGTAATATTCTACAAACCCGATACAAAACAATTAATTGGCACGAATAAGCAAATTAAATTTCCGAGTTCAAAATCAATTTTCAATTTGGTACTCATATAATGAACCACTTAATTCGTCAATCTACGTTAACAAAATTCAAATTTAATTTCAAAATTTTCATTTTTTCCGTTAACTTAAAAGCTTTTTAGAAATAGTTTTTGTACAATTTTTTCGCAATAATAAAAATTCCCATATCTCCACGAAAAGGAAATAAATAAAGCGACATAACCTATATTGGTAACACTGGCGACAATATGAGGAATAAAATGATAAATTCGAAGGATACGTTCTTGAACTCCCGATACATTCAGAAATGTTGGATTTGATTAGTCAAATTCGTCGTCCGTGGAATTCGATCATGTGAAATAGCTCGTTAAATTTTATGCATCGACGAATCGACGGCTTGACGCTAACGCGGGGTTACACTGGTAGTTATATGAACGCACGACGATTTCTCAATGCTCGAACCATTACCGAGTTATATTTCGCGCGAGCCGAAGCAACGTACTGTACATATGCATATCGTTAAACAAAGGAATTGTAGAAATAATTCTCTATATAACCTATACGATGAGTATATGCTTGCTACAAAAAGAGGAAAAAAAAGATACGAATGTAGAAAATGTGAAAATTTTTATTTTTATTTTTGTATAAGTGGGTATTTCTATTATTTGGCCAATAAAACCGATTTCTTTGGGGATTTTTTTCGAAGGAAATCATGATACATTTTGATATGCATTTTCCGTACTCAGATTTATTTATACTTAAAGAATATTTCCAATTTTTGCTTTTTTACGAAATTATAGAAAATTATGGAAATTATATAGCCTTAGGGTAAATCATGTTTTTAAAAACAGGATCGAATGTCTGACATGATTCCAGACCATCTGGTTATCTGAAACGAGAAAACTAAAAAATATTTTAATTGGTATAGATATGGCTATAGCTTGTGCCACCGAAACAGCGAAATTTCGAAAATTAAAAAAATGGCAGCATTTTGAAATTTAAATATCGATTTTCCTCGTACTCGTTGTCCTTTGGGTGGTAAACAAAAATAGAAAAAAACATTGGATTTTGAAGTTCGTATTTCACGAGATAAACGTACATCCGGTAAAGATCTCCTCCAAATTTCGAGTCGATCAGTCAACTAGAACGCGAAATATCCCGTCAGCCAGTTCGAAAAATATGGTTTCGAGAAAAACGCGTTAGAAGTTTTCGTTACCCTTTGTACAATGCCTGTACACTGCAACAGCTATAACTTCGTCAATTTTACGAATTCGAATAAATCTTTTTGCACAGACATTTTCGAAAGCATATACTTCGAAAAAATGTAAAAAAGAATAATCGATTTTTTTAAGCCGGATTACAATACCCCCTTAATTTGAAAATCAATTGTATAAAATAAAAGGACTGACAATAAGTTTAACAGAAATGAATATTAATTTTTTAATGTTTAAAAAAATGCTATGAAGATATTTTTAGACATTTTTTTTAAACAATGAAACTCGTATTTGATTTTTTGTTTACATTAAATATTCCTAACCTAACTTTTTGTAGCAGTTGGTAATATCAACGTATATGTTTACTGTATAAAATTATATGAAATATTATGTATGCAATATAGCACAAAATTAATTTCAAATTGAAAACCTTTTAATTTTGACTATTGTCAATAATAATTGATTATTATTAGTAATATGAAACGAAATTGACAATTACCTACAAAACTAGTTTATAAAATTTTGTTTGAGGACATTAGGTAATTTTAATGACTGAAAATCGATAAAGGTTACTGTAATTAATCACTTTATAGTCACTTTGATTACCGGATGTATAACGAGGATTCTAGTAGGGGTAATAATGATTAAAAAGTTTCTCACCAACAAAGTTTGTTAATGAGATTAAAATATTTTCCAACTTCAATTGCTACTATATTTACAGCTTTACAGAGTGTCTGCATTATCCTACTAAACCATTTATTCTAGCACGTACTTATTTTTAGAATTTAAAAAGCTATCTTCTTTTCAATTATTTGAAATTCATTTAATTGAAACATTTCCATACTAATATCATAAGAAAACATTTTCGCAGAATATTATGATTTCATTTACATGAAAATGGCACTTAAATACCAGTTTTAATTGTTTCTGCAAATCATAAGATTGAAATGAAAAAATAATTTTCACCTCAAATTGTTTAAATATTTTTAAAATTTTGAAAAACATTTTTTTAATTTTAATTAATAAAGCTTTTTCTCCACTAAATTCTATTCGATAAATTTATTTATTTCAATTAAAAATTGAAAAAATATTGTTAAAAAAATTACTGCAATAATATTTAATACCAAGTAGTTAAATTTGGCAAAGGTACACAGTAATTTTTTACAGATCTGGTTAATTTTTATACCACGTCAGATTTCGCTATTAGTGGTAAAAAATATAAATAGGTGGACTTCTTGCCCGGGTTAGCTTTATTCAATAACACAGAAACTTTCCCGAACAAATGTCAAGAAATCGCGAGGTTAAAGCGACGTAAAAGCAAACTAAAAATTCGTTAATTCGCATTGCATTCACATCGACTCTAGACGAACTTCGAGATTAGTTGCTAACGAGTTAACTATGAGTTTGAAGCGCAAAGCTAACAAGACGCCATTGAAGATGGCGCCACGCGCGAACTTGTTGCTGCAAACCAACTTCCGTAATTTATTATAATTAATCGTTAATCCTCTTACATCTTCGCTCTCTTGACAGGTTCAAAAAACACGAGTTCAATGGAAGATTGTATTACAACGATGGACCACATGTCTTCGTAAATTTTCTCCCCAATGGATCTACAGAAGTATTTTACCCGAATAAAATGGTGGCTATTAGGCTTCGAAGACCTCAGAACCGAAAATGTAATTATTCAAAGGAAATATCAGCAATATTTTGATTAGTATCGATAATCTAGTTGAAGGTTATGAATTGTATGTTTAATTTTGTAATATGGGGTGTTGATTTTAACGCGAGATATTATTTTTCAGTTATTTGTGGTTATGTAACGAAAGGAGGTTATGAATCAAAATTTTCCTTCGCGATGTAAAAATATTATGCATAAAAATTGTTACAGTCATATTTTACACTTTTGGACCTGTGGAAATTTTTATTGAGAAATTTTGGCGCAGAATTTTTCTTCAAGGTCAAACTTTTTATGCTGGCATCGTGTTCGACTTGTCACGAGAACAAAATATCTGAAAGGAAGTTGAAATTTAACCTTTTTCATGGAAAAGGAATGTAAAGCAAAGAACCGAAATGGCAATTTTATTTACAAAATTTTTGGGGGAAAAAACAGTAAGAAATTTCAATCCTAATTTTATTTTTTGAGAAATTCCGAAGAGACTTAATCATTGACTTTTATTTAAATAAAAGCTAATTTTCAATTAATGATTTTTAACCTTGAAAAAGGCTGAATTTTACATTATTTAAGTAATCTAGTATTCGAATATTCTATGGTTTAAACGTAGGTATACATGTGGCGGTAATTATGAAAATGGTCTGATTGTAAGTCAGATTTTTGAAAGTGGTCGTGTCACTTATTTTGCGTTATATACGTCTACATTATTATATTAGTATAATAAGACAGAATTGGCTCTGGTAAAGTAACGAACTATTGAATCGTTAGGTCGAATTTGTAATTCCAGTACAGATAATTTTGTAATTATTTATTGATTTATTTTAGTATATTTGAATCTTATATTTCAGATTTTAGTAAAATTTTTAATAGTTCGAGGCAAAGTATGTGTAACTGACAATTAGATCACTTTTATAATCACTAACACATGTATACTCTTCAAATTAGGGCTCAAGTTCTTTTAATTTTGAATTCAAATTATTTGATTTTGCAAATTAGCGAATTTGAAATGTATTTAGTTATTATAAATATATAAGTTGGCGGAAATTAAGGGAAACTAAATTTTATACATCATATATTGTATACATACATACTCTTATTAATAATCTTTTTTTGTTACAATAATATTAAATGACTGAAAAATAATGTATATAATGCATAATATTTACGAATATTAGTATAACTAACATTATTAAGTATAAGTAAGTTGCAGCTAAATTGTTAATTAATATTTAGAATGTTTAATGAAACGAGTGTTTGATACAATATGTCGGAATTAGAATTCCAATGTTGGTATGTTCATAATTGAAAGCTTATGCTTAAATATACCGACAGAACATGCTGTATATCTGCGAATATTAATACGATGAAAATTATGCATATATAATTTAAATTAAATTTATTTATACAGCGATGTGTTGATATAAAGATGTAATTGATACTAATTTAAATCAATTTTAATGGTAATTTATCACTAATATTAATATACCATATTCATAAAGATATTACAATATTTTATTCAAATTTTATTAATAAAATTCGATTATCCAAGATAATCAGATTTTGGAAATTCACAATGTATTTAGAACGTTTAGTTAACACAGAACTGATGTCGAATTATTAGTCATAGAATATATCATATACCTTGAATAGGTACACAAAAACTAACCTTTAGCTAGAAAATCGATTTTGTATGCGAGGGTTGCTGAAAAATATAATATTTATTTTAACCAATATTTCTTTAACGAAACACTACTTAATTCTGAATTTTGTAAATATTGCATCTGTTATATCTCATATTATTAAAAAATCATCGAAGAGCATCTGCTTGCCAAATAATTCGAATTTTTGTCTTCCATTATAATAGAAATACATATAGGGTAAAGTGCCATGAAATTTTACTTAAAGTATGATGTATCCTTTTCCTTTTCCTTGCTTAGTTTTATCTAGCTTTTAGTACATTATTTTTTTTTTATATGTTTTAAGTGCATTTTAATTTTTCTTAAATTTTAGATATTCTAAAATTACTTTTTCAACATTTTTTTTATGAATAAAATGTACTATAATTTTTGTTTCGTAGTTGGTCTTTCATTTCGCTGCATAGAAATTGCTTTATCACGTTAGTGGAACAAAATGAAAAAATTTTGGAAAATCTTTTAAGCGAATATTTCATCAGATTCTAAAATCGTAGTCTTCGTATTATGCATTTTAAAACAGGAAATTGCATAACCGAATTGTGGTAAAAGATATTAATTTTTATTATTTTTATTATTTTTATGTGATCTTTATATTACTAAATTTAGAATATTTCATTTAATTCCACTTTATTTCTCTCTATTATTCTATTTTAAATAGCACTATACGATGTGAAACACAAAATAGCAATTTCAATATGTCTTCCTTTCTCGGTAACGTAATATTTCGCCATTATCACTTATAATCACACAAAGCTTAGTCACGAATGCAAATATTCAAAATCGATTATAGTAGTAAATATATTCGTGGAAATAACAGTATGTATACAAGTGGTATGAATGAAGAGTGTTTGAACGACAGAAGTGTGAACAAAGGCCCATTTGGGTTAAAGATCGAAGGTGTGACAGAAGAGAGTTTGGACCGAATACTTGAGATTCTTTCGGTGAACGTGCCCGAATGTAGAATGGCTGCATGGAATAAAAATGACAGAGCAATAGACAAAGAAAGAACGTGCGTGCGCGAGAGTACAAGTAAGAAAATGAGTTAGTGGGGATCGAAGTTAGTCGAAGTTAGACGAGAGCAGTCGAAGATTAGTCGTAGACTCGAACGTATTAAGAATTGTCACATCGTCGTATTGTATCATAATTAATCACAGTTTAATTTTACTTTTATTGAAGTATATCCACATATTTATTAAATTAGTGTTCACATAATATATTTACTTTTATTTATTCTTACATAGTAAACAAAAAATTATTTTCATGCAGCAAAAGAACTGCTTTCTAAAATTCGATATATATTTTCATGAAAACGATATGCCCACAGGAATTAATCATACTACAAAAGTGACACTACAATCATACAACGGAATATTTTTCGGCAATCCTAGCAACGTAATAGAGACAATCTTATCAGGGCAGCAAAGAACAAGCGTAAAAATGATCGAAATCGATTTCAAGATGATATGTATACTGTATTCAGCCCAGGAGGCAAAGATTGCATTGGGGTAAAGAGGAGATCGCAGATTGTCGCGATATTCGACACCATAGGCAACGGTGCTGTCTTCGACGAGGATGGCGCGACGAGGTCCGTGTTGGAAAAGAATTTCCCAGGAATTTTTAATTACTGTCGCTTTAGACACCTTCCGTTCAAGTTTCCAATTGTTTCTGCAGGCTGTCGTACAATCAGATTGGAGGAATTTGGAGGGATAATCCTACAGGACTGCCGTTGATGTGGAAGTGGGACATCTACGAAAAGAAATCGATAACCAAGATCGTACACGTGGTGAGTGACAGTGCTCGTTTATTTCTTTAACTTTTGAAAATTCTTCCAATACGGGAAAAAACATTTGTTTGAAATTTAACATTAGATATACCAAATCCGACAAATCGATGCGTTATAGCTTTTTTGTTTTTGCAGATACTGGTCTCGCACAAACTTTTTTTTATTGACATTAACATTAGGACTACCAAAGCGGTCAAAATGATTTCTTTGTGACTTCTTACTTTTATAATTTCTGAATATATGCAAAGCTTCTGAAAATTTGTTTTCATTCGGTTGGGTACATAATTATGAACATTATATTTAGACTTATAAGTCAGCGATTCTAGTGTAAATGTTTTTTTATTCAGACTGAATTATGATTATATATACAGTAATTCTCGATTAAATTGTCATGGTCATCCCCACTTTTCTCTCACCACTTGGTATCTGACCTCAGTGAAATCTGATGCGGTTGACAAGGAAAGAAAATTGGTAAAACGAAAAGAAAGGATATAGATATAGTAGGCATGTCATTTTTGAAAAAGCAAATATAAAGTGAAGAAAATTTTATTTTCCATAATTTTTATCTTCACTTTTTAGAAACAGTGCCAATGCATTGTTGCCTTTTTTGTTGCCTGCAGCAAGTTAATTATTGTAATTAAAATTAATCGAATTTATATGGTATTTAGATTCATTTTAGCCAAAAAATTCCAAAAATGCATTAGTACTGTTTTTACAAAGACAACATCCAAATTAAGAAAAATAACATTTTTTTTAGTGTTGATGTCCCACTGGAGTGTCAGATTTCGATCATCGCTGCTTCGCGTACTATATTTGTCTTGCTTCCACTCATTATATCTCTTCTGCTTTCTCTGATAATGCTGGAGTTAAATTCTGGAAAAAATGGGTAGCTTGCTCGGTTAAAATGTAATATAGGATCTTAATATTTTACGATTTAACGAAACATTACTGTACTTACTTTTTTTTATACCATTTCAATTATAATGATTTATACGCAGTATATTTAAATACACAGACTAGTAGTATAAGTGTAAAAATAATAAATTGGTATTAAATGTTAATTTCATATTTATAAAAATACTAAAATTTTACAATTAAAGTATTGAAAATTGATAGTATTTTTAAAAATATTTCAGGAACCATTCAATTTAAGATAGGGAAATTATAGTTAATTGGAAAATAAATGTTTAGCATTAAAAACTATGATGTCTGTTTCATTCATCCAATTATATCACAGAGATTATAAATTCACAATAATATATTAAGTATATCTTGTTAGGTTCAATGATGATTTCCATATTATAAAATAAGTCGTAAAAAATTTTCTTTTATATTATTATATGTTATTGTAATATATATCATTGTTATTAAAATGTTGCTGCTCCTTTTACATTTCCCTGTCCCTTAAAGTGCTTATTAATTAATATTTTAATTTTTTATTCATTTAATTTTACAGAACAAAACAAAATGCAATTTGTAACAAAAAATGAGATATGAAGATTTTAATTATTCCTAAGAAAATAATATTTTAACTCAAACAATTTGAGCAAACTAGAATAATTAAAATATTTTCGTAAAGTACCTTCCACCATGATTCTGAAACAGTTCTTTGCTTCCAGGAGAAGCCAGCAATACGTATAGAGAAGTTGCTGTATGCGTCGACGAAAAGAATGTCAAAAAGGTAGAAACGTTTTAGAAAATTAAAAAACTACAATTACACAATTTCATTAAATACTTATTGAGTCATAAGTTCATTCACTGCCCGCTAGAGTATACATTCCAAAAAATGTTTGGATTTTTCATGAATTAATTAAAAAAAATCTTAAACAGAATTTTTTTTGACATCTATTATTAAATTTAAAATAATTTTAAAAATATTTTTAAGATAATTATTCGAAATAGTAAAAAAAAAAACTATTCTGAATATACGCCAGCACAAGTATCCAACCAAATTTTGAAAAAAGTATATAATATATAAATGAAAACAGAAATATTAGTAGAACTGTTTTTAATTTGAACATAGATTTTATTCGAATTATTCAAAGTTAAAAATTATTCAAAATTGCTTTCCAGTAAAATCGAATTTTATATTTTATTACAAATTTTGAGTAGACAAAGATACAAATACGTTGACAGGAATTATTACGATGTTTAAAAATTTATAGGTTATGTGTAGAGTTTCGTGAGAAACTGTACATTCTCAATTAGATAGGTTATGTAATAATGCATTATACTATTTCAAAGAAACACGAATGAATTTATTATTCAACCGAACATAATATATTCAGAACCGAAAGTGTCAAAGTATCAACGCCGCCTGTGAGTACGCGAAATAAGGAGAAGAAGGTCGAGGCGCTGAAACCTGTTGGAGGGCACGAAGAAGAAGAGGTCGAATCCGGGTACGTTACAAAAAAGAGTAGAATAATTGTGCTTCGCCAAGGGTTTACTAATTACAATGGGTCTACTTCGGTACACGAAACATTTATAACCGTGTTTTTCAATTAAAGCTATCTTCAATGTAGACAGACTACAAACTGATTTCTCTCTGCCGGTAAACAAATAGGTTAATGAACATTTTGCGTAGAGCGATTTCCCTTGATAATTTCACGCTATGCTTTCACCATGATTTAACGTAATTGTGACATTATACGATAATCCTGGCAGATAAAATTACAGTAAAACTCCATTTATCTAAATTACATTTTTTGGAACGAATTTTTGGTTAATACCTGATCGATTGAACTATCGATCGAATCCACTTATCTGATCTACTTATTCTATAGTTTCAGCGACAGATCATAGATGACGGTGGGAATCGGTGAATTCCTATTATATGATCTTTAACTATATACATTTAACTATATACGAGTTTAGATAGATGAAATTATACTATAAAAGATATTTCAAGAATTTTTGATACTGATTTCTAAAAACTGCATAATATGAAACTAATAAAAATTTATTATATTTTTTAGATATAACATTCATGGAATTCATCCTGATACCTGCCACTTTAAACCGATCTGCTTAAACTTGAACGATTATATCAGTTTAAGAATTTTAAATCGAAGGAATATTGTTCTTCAGTTCCACGCAAATAAGAAGAATATCAGGTAACAAAATCAAAGTAAATGAAAATACTTTTTTATTTTAACATCATCACGATAAATCAAATTGCAGGATAGAGTTGGGTACGACCTTAAATTTGAACGAGCAAGTGGGATCTTATTTCGTGGACGCGAGCCTAAAGCATGATATAACGAAGTAAGTAAATGTTCAGTGTTATCTAGCACAGTAAAAGTCCGTTTATGGAAACGAGATTTTAGTTAGTGTTAGGAATTCACTTATATGAATCTAAGTTCTTATTACTCGAATTCGAAATCATAAATAGAGTGGAAATTCGGTAAATTTAGATTCTGCGAATTGCATGGACTCCAAAAAGATCAGATAAAATCAGATAAGTGAAATCTTATCGCACATGTAGATATCGAGGGCACGAGTCAGTAAAGGACGAATCATTTTATTCACGACAGGTGCAAATTCGAGAAACTGCTGCCATCTGGTTTAAAGCTGGACAGTAGCATGCACGACATAGCCGAGGAGTTCCAAAAAGTTAGAAAATCAGCGAAGCAACGTAAATTCATGATAACTAAGTATAGACCATACTTGCGTACCTGGAAAATGTCAGGAACTAGATGTCGTCCACGATAATTCCAATTAATTTTTTCCTCCACTATAATAAATTAGTTAAGATTATCTGTTTTATCAAATTCGATACAACGTAAGGCGAATAAAAGTTATACTTCTACCATAAAATTTGATAAATCACTGCAATTGTTTCTCGTTGGTCTCGATTAAATGCAGCTTATATCCAAATTTTATATTACACTTTTGGTTTTGTATGTTTAACGTTGTACTTAAAGTATCTTTCTCTGATATCATTTTTCTTTTAAATTATTGTCTTCTGTTTTAATTACAGTTTAAGAATATTTCTTGTACCTTTTAGGTTATGTTTATCTCTTTTTCAAAGAAAGATGATCACTTTATCATTTCTTTTTGATTTGATTAGATGTACACTTTTGGTTTTGTATGTTTAACGTTGCACTTAAAGTATCTTTCTTTGATATCATTTTCCTTTTAAATTATTGTCTTCTATTTTAATTACAATTTAAGAATATTTCTTGCACCTTTTAGGTTATGATTATCTCTTTTTCAAAGAAAGATGATCACTTTATCATTTCTTTTTCTTGACATCTAAGTAATTGGAAGAGCGAGCAATGTTGAAGGGATGAAGAAGAGGAACGCAGGATTATATAAATAAAAATGAGTATGTAATTAAAATCATTATGAAATAATTAAATCTTGTCTTAGTGTATACATTCCTTGCGCCAGTGTAACAATGTATACAATGTAATTCACGCACATGTATACTTCCGTTTATGCGCATATGATTATGTCCAATTTCGCCTCTCCTTCATACGTAACGTGTTCATGCGTACGTGTGTTGTGTGCGTGCGGGCTTGTGCTTAAGACACATACTCGAAACACATTCCCACATCCAGGGAATATCTCATCTCGAAAATCTTAAGTACTAAGTGAACAAGAGGGCAAAAAGGACCGAGGGTAGAATGGAAGATGAGGTGGGGGTAGTATCTTGGAAATTTCGACAAATAAATTAGGGTTAGATCGATCGAGGGGGAGAAGGACCGCGAAGTTAGAGATAATGTAAGAAGAAAGAATAATAAATAAGGCAATACGAAGAATCGCAACGAGTTTCGATACCGGCATCGGCTTTCGACCACGCGAAACACCAGCCACGCGAAATTCTGGCTCACGAGATATGAGGTACAACGAAGTTGGAAAAAAAGGAATACCTTTCGAAGTAGACATATAAATAATCGAGTGTACACACACACACTTTGTGATCGAGGACGCGAATTCGAAGGGCCGTCTGACTACTTCCGACTTATTTACAATGCCCTCCGAGACTGCTCTGGCGATCATCGACGAACCTTGCCCTCATAGCACGACGCGACATACTCTCACCGCATTGTCGCGTGATTTATGCTACTTTTTTTTAGTCCTACTGCGATCATGACGTGCCACGAAGTCTGGCCTAAAACGATCCGCGTTGGAGAACGTTCCACCCTTGTAAACGTACATTATAATCACACAGTGAAACCCTATCTGGCCGTCATCTATCCGGACACCAAATTTTAGGTTATGTTCAACACGTTTGCTACCAGCCCCACAATGCAACGGCTGACAATATTATATAAGCTTATCTTAATTGTATACAAACAAAAATCTGTATTATAAAACATAAGATATAACGTTTCATCCTAGCTGGTAGCAAATGTGTTAACAACTGAATCTACTTATCTGAACTTGTGCGAACATTTGCTACTCAGACAGAAGTCACGTGCAGCGTGGAAATGTCTCTTACATAGCTACGTATCAGTACCCAGTGTGCATACGAGTGATTTGTCCGCTAGATGGGTTCAGATAAACGGAGTTCTACTTTATATGGTAGGGCTTTTTACAATTTCAAATAAAACGTTCCCACGCAATGCTACAGACGTACATTGAGAAGTTGGGATAATAATAACAGAGACAAAAGTTGGCTGAAGCAGCCTCGCATGTGATACCCCATGGCAGTGAAAGGAATAACCGACACGATCGCGACAGGTGGAACGTGCTCCTGCATCGTTCTTGCGTTTCTTTGATTCATCCTCCTTTTTCTCTCTCCTGTGGAGTCGCGTTTCTAGTGCGCTTATTTACACGGTACCCGAACATTCCGCCCGTTCTTTCATTCAAGCGAGCTCGGTCGAACGAAGAACCACTACTAGGCTCGATCGACGAAGATTTAACTAAGGGAAAAAGAGGGCCGAGGAGAAGAAGCTGAATTCCAGAGGAGAAAGCCGAACGGCTGTGACGAACAGATGAGAACGAGGAGAATGTTCGAGATAACTCGGGCATCAGAATTAAATAATATTCCAGCACGGTGTCCGTCCTCGAGATCAGCCATCCTCGAGAAGTCGTTTTCTCTCGTTCTTCACCGAGTTCCGTTCGTCGTTGGGATCTCAGTTGGCCACCTTCACGAATTCCGGGTTGGGCACGCTGCAGTTGTCCGCTGCGTATGCCGGGTGGACGAAGCCACTTCCGGCCACGATGTTCTTCCGGGCCACGGCGCGCACCCTGACGAAGAGAACCAGCGACGCGACTACCACTACGAGCAGGAGCATCACTAGGCCGCCGACGAAGCCTGGCAGGCTCATGCAGATGGTCTCTGGGTCGGCGCTCGCGCTAGCGTTCTGGATCACGACTGTGGTGTCGTTACTGGAGTTCGTTGTGCCCAGGGCGAAGTTCACGTCGCCGGGAGCGACTACCTGGATCGTCCTCGAAGTGTTCACGTCGGTCATCTCTTGGGCTGCTCGCTTGTATACGTGACTCGTGACCAAGGTGAGGGTTCGGTAGATACTCTGAAAAGAAAAATGAGGATAATTGTAAAGGTAATTGGTCCTTTACGCTTGTATAGTGATTACTTTAAATATCGTATGTTATTATCATATAGATATTATTATATCTATATGATAAATTATTATATAATATTGTATACTATTGAATTAACATTGTATTGTACGCTACACATATATTGTAATAAAAATTAGTATGTTTGTAGATTTTAACACTTAATATATTTTTATCTATGTAATTTTCAGTTATGAAGTTATATTGTGTGAAGTATGCAGTTTAATGTATTTGATATATAATGAATAAGTTAAGACCATAATCTCACTATGTTGAAAATTTCAACGTAAAACATTAATTTGGAAGAGTAGTAGATATCTAAATAGTTAGAAATAGAATATTTTTGTAATTGTGTAATTGTTGTATATATATGTAATGTATACTACATTGCTTGAAGAAATATAATCTATATACACCAGTTGTATATATATATATAATATGATATATAAATATATGTATAGGCACAATATAATAATTGGATATTTATAATATTTATATTATAATTGTATTAATACATATGTATAATATATAATTACATTATTGTAAATTATAACTATTTATAATACACAATATTATTTATAAATAATTATAACATTATGTGTATATATATAGGTATCTAATTTGTAAAAAAAAGTCAATTATGTAGAATTGTAGATTACAAGCTAAGAAGAAGTAAATATATTATATATTCGAGATGACAAAAAGATTGGAAGTATTGCCATCTGATAAAAATTGCAAAAGTGTCAATATATCATTAATTTAAACAAATTTCATTGATATATGATTTAATCAATGTGATTCTTCACCTTCCCTCATGAAAGAAAATAGATAAAACATCTGGAATAAAATCTTTGCAAATAAAAAGTTTTCTCTAAGAAAAATAATTATCCTGTATATATATATAAATCTACTTAATAGTCTTAAAAAGTAACAGGAGATTTTTTCAAAATTCAGGGAAATTAAAAAGATAAAATCTGTCATAACTATATTTGCAAAATAGAATTTCTAATAATAATTTTTAATAATATTTTTAATAATACCTGTATTAATGACTATGTAATATGAAAATCTAACTTATAGTATATAATACAATTATATAATAAATATAATAATATATATAAATAATTTATGTAAGAAATAATTAGACAATAAAATTGACTATACTTGACAAATTTTTAATATTAAAATTACCAAATTTGTTGACTTTCAGATTTATTAAAAATCCAGTTACCTTTGATATAATTAATATTAACTTTTATTCAAACAGAAACATAATTAGATATATTTACTATACCTTCGTCATACCATTTTAATTATTATATTATTAATGACTCATGTATACCATATTTAGGTATACATTACAAGCTGATAATGTAAACTAATATCGAAGTCATTTCTTTTCAAAAAGGACTTAAAAAAAAAATAGAATTTTCAATTGCAAATTTATTTTTCATTACCAGAAAAATTACAATGTATACATAAATGAAAATTACTTACGGAATCATCGTCTTCCAGAAGCTCGTCGTGGGACCGTCGCCTCCTGGCACCCCTAAGCTCAGCTGGAAAACCTTCAACCGACCTCGGCCGACCTCCGAGGGTGGCCAGGTTACCCTCGAGCTCCTCAGAACCGGCGGTTCCCTTTCTCTTCACGGTCTGGTAGGCCGCTGCTGGATGACCAGGAAGAGGAGGTGGAGGAAGGTGAATGTTATCCTGCGGACTCTGTGGCGAGCTGCTGGCCGTCGCGTCGCCTGGCGTCGAACTCGGTGAGGAGGACGAGGTTTGTGCTTGTGGTGCCGGCACTACGTCCGCGTTTTGTTCACTGTTTCATAATAAACGTTCCTTTTTATTTTACATTTCCTATGTTAGTCGGAGCGTGTAATATAGACTGGTAAATTTATTAATTTAGTCCCAATTTTATTAATAACGATAAGACCAAATTAAATACTAACTAGTCCATTTTATATTAGTTATAGTAATTTTATTTCGATTTTACTAATAACAATAAGGCCAAATTAGGTACTAACTAGTCCATTTTATATTAGCTATATTAATTTTGTTTAAATTTTATTAATAACAATAAGCACAAATTAGGTACTAACTAGTCCATTTTATATTAATTATATTAATTTTGTTTCTAATATTAATTTTAATAAGAACAGTAAGCTGAAATCAAGTGCTAACTAGTCCATTTTATATTAATTATATTAATTTTCTTTAAATTTTATTAATAATATAAGCCCAAATTAGGTGCTAACTAGTTCATTTTATATTAATTATATTAATTTTGTTTCTAATATTAATTTTAATAAGAACAGTAAGCTGAAATCAAGTGCTAACTAATCCATTTTATATTAATTATATTAATTTTCTTTAAATTTTATTAATGATATAAGCCCAAATTAGGTGCTAACTAGTCTATTTTATATTAATTGTAATAATTTTATTTCGATTTTATTAACAACAATAAGTCAAAATTAAATGCTAATTAGTCCATTATATATTAATTATATTAATTTCGTTTAGATTTTTATTAATAACAATAAGGCTAAACTTGTGCCAACTAGTCCATTTTATATTTGTTATATTAATAGCAACGTGTAATATGGACTATTAATTATATTATTTTTGTTCCAATTTTATTAATAACAATAAGCCTAAATTAGGTGCCAACTAGTCGATTTTAAATTTGTTACACTAGTTATAGTGTGTAATATGAATTATTAATTCCTTTACTTTTGTTTAAATTTTGTCAATAACAATAACAACAAATATAATAACAATAAGTCAAAATTAAGTTGTTAACTAGACTATTTTATATTTCCTGTATTAGCTGCAAAGTGTAATACAGACTACTAATTCCACAAAAATTCAGCTAATAAGAATAAATCCAAAGTAAGTATACGGTGTCTCAAAATTTACGCAAGATTTGAATTTCGCGCCATTTGTGCGATAAAGTATTTCCAACAATACAAGAAGACAGCGTGACATCTGACAGTTAAAGGTTATTAAAAATGATATACTACATAAACGAACAACGAGTTTTCATTGTTGAGCAATATTTACAATTCTTAATTTGAAAACCTGTTTTCATTCAAAATTTCATTTTGCATGAATTTTGGAACACTCAATATGTACATTTATAGTAACACCAATAATAAAATTCGTGTTGTATAAACCTCTACACAAACTGTACAGTAAAATTTTTAAATATTAAGGGTTATTAATACCGTATAAAAGAATCACTCAATTAAAAATTCCGTTAAAAATTGTTAATTTCTAAAAATTATTTCAGGTTATGTCGTCAAGAAATATCAATCTATGTACCTGTACGCTCCAGCTGGTCCACTTGGATGTCTAGGATCTGCGAACGCGGGTGGGACGCCATATTCAGGTACAGGTGGCGCCCCATATTCAGCACCGAGGTTCTGATGAACCGGTGCACCATATTCCTGAGTAAGACCCGCGGCAGGGGCACCGTATTCCAGACCAGGATGTCCACATTTCGGTTCCGGACAGTTGTAACGGCAAACTTGTATCACGCACTGGAAGTGGACGTTCATGCTGTCGGGGAATTTGAAGGCTTGGAAGTACGCGAAGCTGACGACAGAGGCGCTGGGACCGAAGTTCTTTATCTTCTGGAACCTGCGAGCAACAAAGAATCGTAGAACGTTATTTGGTGTCGTTGATACCGTTATAAATACAAATAAAGAGCATTGATCTAAAACTATAATGCAAGCATAAGTAAGTATGACTATAAATATAGTTATAAACAAAGTAACAGGAAATTATAAATAACGAGTATAAGTAAAAGTACTAAAATATCATATATACTGTACGTAATAGCAAGTAAAACTATATGCATACAACCATAATTACTTAATGAATATTAAAATATCTGTAAATATAAAAAACTGTGTATATAGGGTGTCCCAGGTAGTTAACATTATGAAATAAAATATCAGTAAATATAAAAAACGGTGTATACAGGGTGTCCCACGTAGTTAACATTACGAATGTCGAAAAAGAAAAAAAATATTCTCAACAGATTACTTTATATATTTTATATTGTATAATTATTTTATGTAATATTTTATATTTTATATAAATCCGACGATTATTATACAAAATGTCCCAGTATTCGGGGTACAACCGAGGACAGGGTGATTCTACATGAGAAAACAAATCGAAAATAAAGAATAAAATTTTTTAATTTGATGCTTCGTTGTCGAGAAAATCGACTTTGAATATTAACTCAGTACGCTGGTGTACTGATCGTCCACTCCCCTTGCACTCCCCACTCCCCATACACTCCCCACTCCCCTCCCACTCCCATTGTTAGACAAAGTCAAGTGCACGCGTACTCGGTGAATATTCAAAGTCGATTTTCTCGAAAACGAAGCATGCAATCAAAAAATTTTATTCTTTATTTTCGATTTGCTTTTTCATATAGAATTACCCCCTCCTAGATTGTACCATCGATACTCATGTATTGATGATCTATCCATATAAACCATAGCTAAGTGCATGCACAGTTGGTGAATATTCAAAGTCGATTTTCTCGAAAACGAAGCTTCGAATTAAAAAATTTTATTCTTTATTTTCGATTTATTTTTTCATATAGAATCACCTGTATAAGTTAATTAAGTTCATCGAGTGATTCAATTAGTAAATTAGGTTAACTGAGTTAACTAAATTAATTAATAAATTAATATTGAACATATAATAAACAATAATTACTACTAATCAGTAAAACGCAATAATTCTCTGATAATTTCACTTCAACATCCTAATTTCAAGTTCTATATATAGAAACAAAATATATATAACCCAAAATGAAAGAATATTATTACTCACCTGGACATGATCTTCGGCCTAACGACGCAGCCATATTGATCCACGAGCTGAATAGGTGCCCTTTTCCCATCGTGAGCAACACAGTTCCTCACCAACATGTCGAACTTGTTTTCATCGTCCTTGATAGCCAAGACCATCGTCATAGTCTGTCCGATCTTCACTATACCGGACACTTCGCTGGCCCATGGTCCTTTGCCAACCTGTATCTGCATCCAGCATTGCAAGTTGTCACCGAGGAAGTTGGCGGTGACAGCGTGCAGCATGTCGACTTGGAAGGGCCTGAAGGTCACTGCCTTTTCGTAGAAATCGTACCAGGTGCAGCGCAGCTTTCTGGCCTGGTCCCACACCTCCTGCACGTAGGGGTCATACTGGACTATGATAGTGTTCTCTACGTAGCTACCAGAGGGCGTAGGAGCCCCGTAGGCGGCCACGTTGTGATTGGCCGAAGAACTCATCCCGCAGGAGTTGAGGAAGATCTCGAAGGTGGCGCTGAGGTGCCCAGTGCCCGGCTTCAAGTGGACGCAGTGCGCGTCCGAGTAGAAGCCTTTGCTGAAGATCATTCCGTAGAACGGCCTATCGAACTCGATGTTCACTCGCATGTGCGTCTTCTCGCATTGAACCTGCAAGTGCTTTATCTGGGGCGTGTCAGGCGACGCCAGTGGCCAATTCTCCTCGGCTCCGTGCGTTGCTGGAGGGCCATATTGCGCTGGAGGCCCGTACACCGATCTGTGTTCCAGAGGCAGCGCGCTGCTGTCGACGAGTGGAGCATCGCAGTTCACCCTCTGGGGAAGAGAAGACGAGATTTGATTTAACTTTTTTAAGAGATCTGACCCGGTTTCCGAGTTAATCTAAGTTTCTGCCTGATTCCCGCGGTAGGGTTTAGATTATTTAATCCTTCGCGGTTCTGCGTCAAGTTGGATTTCATATTCTGTTTTCTTCCAGCATCCCTAATTTTTGTTTAAATTTCTTAATTTCGTAATTTCATAATTTTTGTGTCCTAATTTTTTAATTTCTTAATTTTACTGTCTTAATTTCTTAAGTTTTGTGTCCCAATTTTTCAATTCTTTAATTTCTTAATTTCAGTGCCTTGATTTCTTAATTTCTGTGTCTCAATTTTTTAATTTCTTAATTGTTGCGTCTTAATTTCCTAATTTCTTAATTTCGTAATTTTTATAACCTAATTTTTTGATTTCTTAATTTTACTATCTTAATTTCTTAATTTTTATGCCTCAATTTCTTAATTCTTTAATTTCTTAATTTTTGTCTCCCAATTTTTTAATTTCTTAATTTTTGTGCTCAATTTCTTAATTTCTTAATTTCTTAATTTTAGTGGTTTAATTTCTTAATTTCTGTGTCTCCATTTTTTAATTTCTTAATTTTTGTGTCCCAATTTTGTAATTTCTTTATTTTTGTATTCCAATTATTTAATTTCTTTATTTTCATGTCTTAATTTCTTAATTGTAGTGTCTTAATTTCCTAATTTCTTAATTTCTTAATTTTACTGTCTTAATTTCTTAAGTTTTGTGTCCCAAATTTTCAATTCTTTAATTTCTTAATTTTAGTGCCTTGATTTCTTAATTTCTGTGTCTCAATTTTTTAATTTCTTAATTATTGTGTCTTAATTTTCTAATTTCTTAATTTCTTAATTTTTATATCCTAATTTTTTAATTTCTTAATTTTACTATCTTAATTTCTTAATTTTTATGCCTCAATTTCTTAATTCTTTAATTTCTTAATTTTTGTCTCCCAATTTTTTAATTTCTTAATTTTTGTGCTCAATTTCTTAATTTCTTAATTTCTTAATTTTAGTGGTTTAATTTCTTAATTTCTGTGTCTCCATTTTTTAATTTCTTAATTTTTGTGTCCCAATTTTGTAATTTCTTTATTTTTGTATTCCAATTATTTAATTTCTTTATTTTCATGTCTTAATTTCTTAATTGTAGTGTCTTAATTTCTTAATTGTAGTGTCTTAATTTCCTAACTTCTTAATTTCTGTGTCCGAATTTAATTTGACAGAAATATGTGAACATAGGAACGTTCGTTATTGTTTGGAAAAATAGGAAAGTAGAACCAAATTTTGTGTAACGTCTCCAAGTAAATTTTTGACTACGAACTAGTTGGGATAAAATATCGAATTCACATTCGTTAAATTATTAATTATTTAATTCCTAGTGCAATGATTTAATTGTGAAAAATTTTACAGTGAAGAAATATTTAATTGTAATTAATTTCAGTTATACATTTGTTCCATTAACAAAAGAATTAAATAAAAATTTTAGGATTTATTCCAATTTAGTATTTTATATTTTATTTTATATTGTATTTTATATTTTTTTAAATTTTGCATTTCCATTTATTTGGAATATTAAGTTTCTTGAAATATTAAGAATATTACAAATATTTAAAAAATGGTACGTAGAAAAATTCATTAATTAAATCAAAATTACTTGATCAATTAAATGCATTCATGAAAATTTTAGAAATTGGAATGAAATTATTTAGAACATCATAATAAAATTAATTTGAATAATGTATATTATTATTTCTATATTTTATGCTATTATATTATTTTATAAAAATATTACGCATTTTTTCGTTTCTTGTTTTTCATTAAATAATTAAATACATAAAATAATAGCACTAGTGCATACAATTTATTTAAATCCAATATTAAAATGAGATGAAAAGTGACGTAACTAAATTATGCAATTTCTCACAAATTAACGATTGATCTTAAATTTATGACTTTAAATAATATCAATTTTAAATAATGGCTTTAAATATATAAATTAAATGGCTTTAAATAATTTGTGCCACGAGAAATAATATTCAACTGGTTATTGCGGTTAACAATAATTAACTGCGGTTTCACGATAGCCGATTTCGAAATAGCTGTGGTCACTTATGTGGTGGTGAACTGTTCAAGGTGATCATAGAAGAATAAGTGACTACCATAATAATTCGACAAACATTGCATTAACATTAATTTTATATCTTACATGTAATTTAAATTTAATATAATTTAAATAATGAAAATGAAAATTAAAATCTAATTATGTAATACAATAACAAATTAACTTTATTAACATTGAAACAATTCAGATTGTAATAGCATTGAAATATTATTTAACTTTATAATACTTGTAGTAGTCGAGTAGAGATCATTTTTTATTTTATAATAGTGATTTAATGATAATGAGAAATAATGATCTCAGCAACTGTTCATAATATTAAAAATTTAAAATATTATTTAACATAATATTAAATTAAAATAAATAATATTAAAAATTTTGTAGTTAATACAAATTATTATACCGTAATAATTATTATAAATTGTATATAATTAGAATATCATTAATCACAAAGAATTATAAATCAGTATGATATAATTATGCTTAATATCAGGTTGAATAATGATAAAATACCAACAATTAATATTTATACTCTGCATCTACAGCTACTAGGAATTATTAATTTATAAAAATTGTTATAAATATTATACCGTTTACAAATTGAAGAAAGAAAATGCTTAAAAATTCCTTATTTCTATACTCTTCTCTTGAATTGGAAAAAATGTGAAATAATAAACAATCTTCTTATTACTTCTCATTAAAAAAATTGTCAATTAATAAAAATTTCGAATTTTTCAAAATTTTCGAATTTCAAATTAATACTAAATTATACAATAGATATATTCACAATAATTTTGCAATCTCCAATAACAGTAAAAATTATTTTCAAAAAAATTAGAAAAATTAAGAAGTTTCAAATTTTTACATTAACACAGAAATACACCTACACCATAAAAATAGAAAAATCCCATAGAATTTCAATAACGGATTCCACTATCTACATAAACAAATAAACCTAATCAACAAACTGAGAAAGAAGGGCAACTCCGAAGTAGTCAAACTCGTTCACGATCAGCTGAACCAGTAGAGCAGCCCAATAATTCATCAGAACTTATCCTAATCCCTTCTCAAAACCCCATACTCCGCACCACGAAGATAATATTACTGATTTCCTATCTTTTCCCAGGTTCTCACTCTGCTAAAAGAATAATAATCCATTAAATTTGATAAAAATTTTATAAAAATGGCTACTTCAAATTACTCAGAGCACCATGACACTTCCAATTTATGAAAACGAGAGAACTCATTGTGATCAGTTTTCAGGGTCTCTTTGCCCACTGTGCGTAACAATTTATCATCGACAAACTAAATACGAATCTTTACCGAATAAACAATTTCTCAAAAATACCTACACAGTCAACGAAGCTCAACCCTAATTCTAACCCTAATCCAAAACCTAGACACATCTCATAATCAAACTCCGAGGGCACGTACAGGCACTATGACGAAATCGGGCAAAAATAAGAGGAATTCCTTGAAAACCGACCGAATAACTCTTAACGGAAATGAATGACTAGTATCATTTTTAAAGCCCAGCACGTATGCAGAGAGGCAATTTAACCGGCTGCGTTTCGAAACCCGGTAAGTCATAACGGGTAGCAGAGAAAAATATGGAGACGGTACCGGAAAACGAAGCACGTTTCGTCGTCGGTCCGCCAGAAAATAGAAAAATTAATTATGATTATTGGGAAATAAAAATTAATTATGATAGAGCCGCAAGCTAACTAATTAACTAAGTAATTAATAGCTAAATTTTTCATTTTCCAAATTTTATTTTATTTTGATTTAAAATTTGATTTTATTTTGATTCAAAATTTGATTTTATTTTGATTTAAAATTTGATTTTATTTTGATTTAAAATTTGATTTTATTTTGATTTAAAATTTTATTTTGATTTAATAAAATTGATAACAAAATAAGCGACGAAATCATGTCCACGAAATCATTGACTTGCACTACTTGCATAATTACCAACGCGAGTATAATATGAATATAATTTACTTTCATTGAGATAAATTATTTATTCTCGTTATGCAACTCTGATTATTGTGAATTTTGACAATATTAACACTATGTTTATGGACACTGTCTGCATACCTATTTTTACATATTTGACACCTGTCAAATTGACAGATAAAGGAAACCACGTGTCTTCTTTTTTAATGATTAATTTAATTTAAAAACAATTACAATATTAACAATCTTAATATAAGTTAACTAAATCTGTTACCATCGTATAATTGGAAAGAAGAAAAATTACAGTTTAACCTGTTTAAGCCTTTGCACAACGAATTATTTTTCAATTTTGTCACTAATAACTATCTTTTATTTTAAGTATTTTCTTTGGAATTTGCTTCACAGGACAGTTCCTCGACTGCTACTTATTTTAAAGAATTTTGTTTACCGATTATATTAAATATGGTTCTAAAACATTGTTATAATTTATATCGACCGTTTATTTTCAAAGTAAGGCAAGTTCATTTTCTGTTGTTTCGAGAAAATTAAAAGTTAGCATATTTGTCAATTAAAAAGTATAGTTTAATTATGTCAGGTCCGGAAATGTTTCTATTAATTTATCAATATGTAATTTGATTATATAAATTTCTTTTAGGCGAATTTAACTAAAATAATGTATATTTACGGACTGCAAATGGACTTACACCACTTTCATAATTAGTCAATCGTAAAAATCGTTTAATCTCAATTTTGAAAAATTAAATATCACTTAAAATATATTTCGTATAAATTCAATTTTGTTTATAAATAATAACAGAAAATAAAATAGGAGTGGTATTTTTATTTCGAACGTTAATTATATTTATATATTGTTAAACTTAACGTAAGATATTGGTATTATTTATTTATGCTCT